TCAGCATCCAATCATCAAACCATAAGAATGTCCATCCACACAGTAAAAGAATCCGTTTCTTGGGTAAGAAACCCAAGATGAACAAACTGGGGAAATTACCGAGAAAGTCTATCTGACAATCTTAGGGATATCATCCTCAGATTTAACAACAAAAAGCAGATGGAGGAGGCTTCGATTGCCCTAAACCAGGCCATCATAGACTCCTTCGAGACAAACTGCAGGCTAATCCCGAAAGGGCAGCCTACTGAGACTTCTTGGTGGTCAGAGAAACTCGGTGGGCTGAGGGGTAAGGCTAGAAAAGCTTTTAACAAAGCTAAGAACATGAAAGCGGGCCCCCGTAAGGAAGACGCATGGAAAACTTAGAGAGGCTTGCTCGCAGACTACAACAAGTCGGAAGTTCATGCCAAGTTTCAAGTTAATATATTGATTTTTTCGGAAATTAGAGTGTTGACAAGCGTTTTGAGCAAAAAACCGAAAAACTGAAATATCTCGGAAACTTTGTATGGACGGGTATATATATTTTGATTGAGTGAGATGGGGGGCACCAAGACGAGTATTTCGAAAAAAAAATTGAAATCGGTGGGATAGTTTTTGAGATATTCAAGAAAATAGGTTTAGATACAAAGTTGAATATCTCCTAAACTATTCATCCGATGTCGCCCATTTTCAATACGAAACATTTTAGTCCCAAGAGAGAAGTTCATGNCGAAGTTCATGCCAAATGTCAAGTTAATATATTGATTTTTTCGGAAGTTAGAGTGTTAAGCGTTTTGAGCAAAAAACCGAAAAACTGAAATATCTCGGAAACTTTATATAGACGGGTATACATATTTTGATTGATCAAGAGAGAAGGCATCAAGACGAGTATTTTACAAAACGATTTAAAAACGAATGGTCATTTCTCAAAAACGGCTGGACCGATTGAGCTGAAACTTAGCACACAGTTAGTCCTTAGTAATACCTATAAGCTGAAAAATTTTCAGATTTTTTGGAATCATTTTAGCCCTTTATTCCTCCAATTTTCAAAAAGTTGACCAACAGGTGGACACCCGCACATACACACGGGGTGGTCAAACTTCGTATTTTT